CTCTAAGGTGCCACAAGTACTCCTGTTCTTCTTTTTGCATATCCTCTTATGGGCTCTTTCTAGCCAAGACTAGATGTCTTTCTAAAACGCATCCTGTAGCTCGACCAGATGTTACGGGCTTGATGTAGGAATCCTTAGGTTAAATTCCCTTGCCCACGTTCTACAAGAGGTCAGAATTGGGTTCTTGGGGAAATTTTCCCCTAACTAAGTCCCATTTTCAAAAGTGACTTTGGCACTTTTGAAAATCTCACCTTTTGACAATCACAACGGTCCCTTCCGGACGTAAAAATCTCTCTCTTGCGACACCTGAAATCAGCAGAAAACCGACCCAGGCGTCTAAGCTCTCTCCTCTCGTAGAAGAAATACAAAAGCCTGAATTCTGCTTGGAATCTGCTTTAAAAAGTAGTCAAGACTCCGCATCTACCCGGAGCAGATTCCAACCCCTCGCCCATCTCACAGCGGCGAGATGCGTGCGTTTCAAACATTTGCTGTTTCAGCTTCGCTCCCAGCCTGTCTGCGTCTTACTCCAATTACATGCCATGTTTCGCAATTGCTGCTACAAAGGATGGCGGAGAAATAACCACCCCCCCCCCAAAGTCACAAAATAGTTGTGTGTCCCTCTAAATCCCATCCAGAAAGTAGGAACCAATCTTCAAACCAAAAAGGCAGATGCTTTCCAACAAGAACACGGACACCCCCCCCCCCCCCCCAAAAAATCACGTAAGCCTGTCTGGGTTAGAAGCAGCCTTCTTCTCGGCGAAAGCAGACACACCAAGAAGCACCTCGGTTATCCTGCAGGTATAAATCCCCTTAGTCCTGCCCTGAGTGCAGGGGACGGGTCTAGCTGACCTCTCGAGATCCCTTCCAGTCCTCCGATTCTGGGGAGCAACTCCGAGAGACAAACATATCCGCAAATCTGCCTCCTCCAGACGCCAACAAGAAACTTGACTGTGTGTGCGGAGACCCTGGCCCATCACGCTGTTTTCTTGGACGCCCCTTCGATTGGAAGCTCTTTGGCACAGGGCCTGTCTTTTTACGCTGCGTTTGTACTAGATGGGATGCGGGTCCGTGCCTGGGGCTACGGTAACACGCTAGAAATAGGGAACAACATTCAGAACACAGACCATGGGCACGTCTAGCGCCTCACTATAACAACACGGCTTAAAGCAACTTTTATTCAAACGGAGACAACAAACATTGAGCGCACACGGGGACTGTCACCCATCAGAGGTTTAGGAAGTTTCAGGATCTCCTCCTGCCTTTCATCCTCGCTTCGCAGCCAGATGGGCTGAGACAAGAGCCTCCAGAACCACTCCAAACCTTAATTACGACACTAACACTGTTAATTATAAATGGCGTGGAGCGAGTTTCCTGGTTCTCAGCGAGGGGCCCTCGGAAAACGAAGCATCTAGCTGTTTTGGAGATAGTTGGAGGAGGGGAGAAATCCACCGGCTTTCCTGGCAAAGCAGGGGAGTCAAAGTTTTGCAAACTCCAAGCAGAGAGGTCCAGGTGCTGGCACGGAGCAGACTCCACGCCACCGAAAGCAGACGGGCTGATAACCGTTATGAAACACCCCGTCTCGCCAGGCAAGGAAGACAACAGCTGATCAGAAGACTGTGCTCCCCAGGGGGAGTGTAGGGTTGGTACACAGGGCGGGCGTGTGCAGGGGCGTAGGGGGCACCCCCACATTTTGAAAGGCAGCCAGAAAAAAACAAATTAGTCCTTTCCCTTCGCGGGGAGAGTCACAAGCTAGCATTTCACTAGTGCAAAGTTAAGCAGAGAAAGCAGGCTGCTGTCTTTGATTTTTGCAAAATCCAATGCCTGTTTACATCTGATCGGCGCGTCTTTTACCCCTAAACAAATCCCTCGGGCCTCTTGCTTTCCACCAAAATGCTCTCACGCTTACAAGCGCGAGCCAACGCGTGCCACCTGAACCCTGCTCCCGCGAACCAGTTGCCAATCGCTCCCACAGCAAGTGAGCACGGCAAATGATTCATGAGATCTGGGTTCGAATTCCCAGCTCCGCTCGCCCCCAGACTCCCCATCTGACCTTGGGCAAATCACGTCACCGCTGTGGTGCCTCGGTTTCCCTATATGTAGCTCAGTGTTAACGAACCTTCCTTTCTCTGTTAAGGCCTGGTCGCACTCAGATTTTGTACCAGGGTAGCGAGGCCGGACCGATACAGTCACATAGGCACGACCACAGGCCTCTCTCCGCTGTACCTCATTACGGATTTGTGAAATAAAAATAAAACTATCAAGGAGTTGCATTCTACAGCCTATTCTGTACTAATCTGCTTTGATCAAATACAGACACGCTGGAAAGAAAGGTGCCCCTTTCACACCTTTGGGGGGCATCAGGCTTCCCACGGCAAATCTGAAATCTTCTTCAAAGGACCACAACTGCTCGTACCATCCCGAAGTTTTCTGGCAAAGCAGGAGTTATTTAAACAGCTGTTACAGCCTCAAACCAGTCACAAGAGGAGGATCAGACATGCTCAGAGTAAACCAGACAAGAATGCCTGACGAAAAGGAGAGGCCGATAAGAAACAGGGAAAATGGAAGGGCAAATAATTACCCGCTCCCACCCTCTTGCTTAAAGCCACAAATCAAAGTCAACACGACACCACTTTGAAAAGAGAAACAGAAAGAGTCGGTTTCAAAGTTATATTAACTCACCAAGCATCGAACCTGAGAGCGTGTTCTTGTAAGCAAAGGTCAGGGTGGGAAGGAAGGGACCATCAGAGGATCACATCTCTAAGGGCGGAACAAAAATGACAAAGCCCACCCCGGAAAGCTTGCTGAGAAATTGGAAAGTGACCCAGAGAATTCCTAGATGGAAAGCGATAAAGTAATGCATTTTTTCCTCCTCCTCCTCTCACCTCTGAACTAGCTGGCATTCAGAACGAAGGCACAATTTCCAAAAGACGAGATTCCATTTCTAGGGTTAAGAGCCAATGCTTACATTCCTGGCTGCCACAGATTCCCTGAGTGACGCCGCCTCTACGAGCCTCAGTTTCTGCCTCTGTAAAATGGGCGTGACTAGCAGGCCTCGTCCCATACCTAGGTGCACTGCACCAATAAAAACAGCGTCCCCGAACTGTAAAAATCCAGCGAAGGCCAAAAGCTTCTTACAGCGAGTGCTCGTTTCAGACCCCCATCCCCTCCACGCACACCAACGCTGGGCATGTGTATAAGAGATCGGGGTCTGGAAGCATTCTGGCAGCCCGGTTTGTGATCAGAAGCGTCTGGAAGAAGGGGGAGGCATGTTCTGAACGGGACCACAGCCACGTGCGTTTGCAGTCGAAGGCTGATGAAGTTAATCCAACATGCAAGTATGCAAAGAGCAGCAGCCGCTAAGGAAATCGTCTTCAATAAGTAATTATCTGCGATAACACCCACTACCTTTTAGGCACCTCCAGCCAATCCTGCACTAAGAGACAAAGGTCAGAACAACCGGCACGCTCTGGGTTTTTAAAGGGGACGTCAACAAAGCGGAGATAAGCTCCTTTGCCCTGTCCAGGCCCGACGGTTATAAGATTTCCCACCCATCGCATCCTAATTTTTCCGCGCTGCCTGCAAAAATGGCCTAAAATTCCTGAAGTGACAACGGAGTCTAGCCTCGTCCGTTTTCTGAAAAAATCATGTCCCTCAGATGCTCAAAAAAAACCCCAAAACCAATAACCCTGTTTTTTTTTAATTGTTAAATCGCTTTTGTAAATTTAAGCTGCTGAGAATTCGTAAGCCGCTACCATTTTTTAACTAGCAGCTGGCGCGAAGTTTCAGCAAGTTTTAAGGCCAGAAGGGGCTATTAGTCCTTCCCGCGTCATCCTAGCCACTTCGGCTTGAGCGAAAGCAGATTTTTTTTGTAGAAAGGGACTGCCCCAGTCTTTTGACTCCACGCGACGGAGACTCCACTGTGTCCCCAAAAATACATGCCCTGTTTCTAACCTGAATTCACCTAGCTTCTGTTTGGATCTGTTCTACCTTTCTCTACATGTGGGGTCGGTGGATGCATGGGGGCCCGCAGATGATGCGAAAGATGCACCTCCATTTGAAATGTCATAGGGGGGCCGCAAATGACAAAAAAAAAAAGATTGAAAACAACTGCTTTGTACCATCAGAGAGTCGTGTGGACTCTCAAGATCCCCCCTACGTAGGGATAAGCAACCAGGGAATGTCTTTAGATGACACATTTCCGTCTTTGTGAATCAGACGGCAAAGCGAGAAAGAAAGAAAACCAACTCACTTCACACTTCTAAAAATAATCCGTGATCACACACACAACTGCGTGTTCCCAAAAACCTCCTCTCTGCAAATCCACCGGGAGGCATCCAGCACAACATCACGCCCCCTGCCCCAAAAAGTGCCCACGGAGTTCCCAGAATCCGCGAGGGCTTGACACTCAGAATCACAGGAGAGGCACCTTTGTCACCTGGCTCCTTTCCAGATACACGAGCGGTGCCCAGCCCAGCATCCACCCATCCCTCACAGATCCGGGGGGACGACTCCCCAAAGTTTCTGCCCTTAACAAGTTGAACTTTTTCCCCACTCCTGCCCGCTTCCAACCGGCTCCCCTTCTCGCTCCCGATGGGACTCCCGAGTAGGGTGACCAGATGTCCCGATTTTATAGGGACAGTCCCGCTTTTAGGGTCTTTTTCTTATATAGGCTCCTATTACCCCCCCACCACACACACCCTCTGTCCCGAATTTTCACACTTGCTGTCTGGCCACCCTACTCCCGAGCAGCATGTGAACAACTCATGATCCAGCCCAATTCTCTCAACACACAGCTCCCTGGCATGCCGCAATCTGCCCCTCTTCCCTTCAAATAGCTCCCAGTCCCCCAAACCTCTCCACCCCCCGTCCCGTGCCTTCCTTCCCCAGACACCCCGAACAGGGCACCCCATCCCCACAAAGGATTGCTCAGCAAGGGGGGGTCCCCTCTGCATTATCCCCCATCCCATGCATTGCTAAACAAAGGGGGCCCCCTCCCCCCACGCATTGCACAGTAAGGGGTCCCTTCCCTCCCACCCACCCCATCCATTGCTCAGCAAGGGGGGGTCCCCGCTCCCCCCGTGCATTACCCAGCAAAAGGGGATCCCCTCCTTGCATTACGCCTCCCCCAACCACTTACCTGTCCTTCCAGTGGCCCCCCCGCACCATCCCTAGGGCCTGGCTAAGATTGGGGTGTAAGGGGGGGCAGGAAATTGAGTTGCAAACCTGACACCCCCCCCTGGTTTTGGGGGGGGGGGTTGCGTTCTAGGGCTGTTGCATCCTGGCCGGCCCCGTGCAATCCCCGGGACGGGGAGAGGGGGGGTGCTGCAAAGACAGGAAGGGGGGGGCTCCCAGATTTGCACCGGGGCGCGGGCGGGAGCGGGGGCGGGAGCGGGGGGGA